TTTTTCACTGACCAAAGCTATAGAATTTTTGAAATCCAATTACCTAGCTTAGGAGCTGAAGGACTTGTGCAGGTTACGGAGATGCTGTCAGGCTCAGTTTTCCCAATAAAAAACTGAAAAATGACTTCCTGAGTTTTTTTGTGAGAGATAAATAAGGTAACATACATAAAACATACAAGGCTGACACCTGGCACATAATGAGTTCAATCAGTAGTTAGGCATCATACTGGGTTGAATAGTGTTTCCCCAAAATTCATGTCTACCTGATACTTCAGAATGTGACCTTATGTGCTAATAGGGTCTTTGCAGATATAATGAGTTAAGATGAAGTCACATCGGAATAGGGTGGGCCCTAAATCCAATATGATTTATGTTCTTATGAGAAAAGGAAAGGCCACACAGATATACAGAGACATAAGAAAGAAAGCCACATGTAGACAGAGGCAGAGGTTGGAGTGATTATATCTACAAGAGAAGTAACACCAAGGAGTGTTGGCCACCACCAGAAGCTAGGAAGAAGCAAGGAAGGATTATTTTCTAGAAATTTCAGAGAGAACATGACCCTGTCGATCCTTACATCCTTCATTTTGGACATCTAGGTTCTAGAACTATGAGAGTATACATTCCTATTGTTTTAAGGCCCTCAGTGTGGAGTAATTTGCCATGGTGGCCCTAGAAAGCTAATACAGATGCTATCATTAACATCATATTGAACATTTAAGTCTCTATTATTTCAAACACCCTGTTTATATTGCCTGATATGTATTGGTTTTCTTGAAGTTTTCAAAATGAAATCCCATTAAAAGGAACTGTTGTTGTTAGGTGCCCTCAAGTTGGCTCTGACTCACAGTGACGCTGTGTACAACAGAACAAAACTCTGCCCGACCCTGCATCAGCCTCACAATCTTTGCTGTGCTTGAGCCCATTGTTGCAGCCACTGTGTCAAACCATCTCATTGAGGTTCTTCCCTTTTTTCTCTAACACTCTACTTTACTAAGCATGTTATCCTGCACCAGGGATTGATCCTTCTGGAAACATGACCAAAGTATGAGAGGCAAAGTCTGGCCATTCCGCTTCTAAGAATTCCAGTTGTACTTCTTCCAAGACAGATTTGTTCATTCTACTCCACGGTATTTTCAGTATTCTTCAACAATGCCACA